ACTGTCTTTATTCTCCTTTTCACTCTAAGGGCATTTAAAGTTCTGAAAATATGTAATTAATTATCTTATAAAAGCCAAAGCTTCTACCTATCCGCTTTCAAGTGCTAAAATCCTAAGCCATAGCTCCCTGTCTAAGGGAGGGGATGTTCTTTTGGCTACAGCGGTGCTGCTCATCTGATACTTTTAAAACAGAACTAGAAATCAGGCCCTCACAAGGCCCTTTCTTCATTATAATCACAAAACGCTTTGTACTAAAGGCCAGACAAGGTGTTTATGTTTCAACCCCAGACAATTCCCTCAAGCAAAACTGCAAAGGAGGATGTAAGAAAGGGCAAAGACATCACTAAATCCAGATGCCTTCACATGACCTATGAAAGAATGGCAGGGACCGGCACCAGGACTGGCTGGGGCAGGCTGTGAACTGCTACTTTCTCAAGTCAACAGAGCTCACAAAATTCAAGAACAGAGCCTCGGTGCCTCTGACATGTTGACTGAGTAACTCAGCTCCCAGTGCCTCCCCTAGATGCAGTGCTGGATTATTTGCTACACAAAAGACTGTCAAGTTGAAATAAGTCCTTATCCCCTGCCTCCACTGGAGGCCTGGTGCGTCATACTATGCTTATGCCCTCTTCAGGTCTTTCTAGAGTGCTACCTACTTCTGATGATGGATTTTCACACAGTGTGTTACCCACTGACTCTCTTCTCTTCCAGTGGAAGGGTAGGAGCTGGGAAACTAGTTAAAGCCATGCTTTGCCCATAGTCACCCCTCTTCTGACATGGGCTTCATGAAGACAGAGACGGATCTAGTCAACAGTATATGACATAGTGGCCATGTGCTAGCATTCGGGTGGCTGTGACAAAGTCAACTGGGAAGGGGGCTACCTTTTTAGCAACAGTGCTAAAACCTACTACGATACGTCTGATAGCACATTACCATTCTCATCTTATTGTTTTATATCCTCATTTAAAATTGGTGCTGCTGGAGAGATGGCCTGGCTGGTTCTCTAGAGGGCCTCAATTCTGTTTCCAATACCCATATCAGGCTGCTCGCACTCATTACTAACTCCAGCTCCAGGGTATCTCATGCCCTTTTCTAGACCCCATGGGCACCTACACACACATGGTACACACTCACCAACATACATACACACATGCATATAAATAAATTCTTTTCTAAAAAAGTACTATGAAGGCGAGGATGTACTTCAGTAGTAGAACACCTACTTTTAGCATGGTATGAGGCCCTGGCTTCCATTTCTAGCACAGAAAGCAAAACCAAAATAAACAACAACAAAACCCCACAAAAAAAGGCCCTATCTTAATTACTGAGTTCAGAAAAGTCAACGCAGTATTTTCCAGGTTAAATATTAAATGGCCCAAAGAAATCCAGAGCCAAGTCAGGGTTAGAAGGACTTTGAGAGGTCATTCATCTCCTGACTTCAGAAAGAATATTAAAAACATTACAAATAAATATAAATGCAGGTTTATATGACTCCAAGGAGAAAAGTTTACAGTTTTCAGCATCTGTGTCCTGCTTTTGTGATACCTTTCTTCCTGACCCTTGTGCAGTGGACATGGGGATCACCCTAGGGGCTTGTTAAAGCAGCCAGACTCTGTCCTCAGGTCTTGGTGGGCCTGTGAAGCTCTGGGGGTTCCCAGGCCGTGCCGATGTGGCTAAAGGCAAAGCCACACGGTGGCAACCACAGTATCTGACCCCTTACATTCCAAAGGGGAGCAGAGAGCAGCTATTCATCACTCTTCTTCGAATGGATGCACATATGTATTTGAGCAAAAATCCAAGAGTCCCTCGGCCGTTTCTTCCTCCCTTCCAGGCTAAACAACAGAAGTCTGTAACCTCTTATCATAGCTATAATTTCTAACCCTTGGGTTTTTTTTTTCTCTTTCTCTTTTGAGGTTCTTTGTTGATCTCTCCCAGTCTCTTTCAGATGTAGAGCCATAAACAAGACACAGAACCTGAGTCAGAGACCTGCCACAGCTGGTGTAAAGAACAGAATGATTCAGACCAAATCCTTGTGCACACATTCATCAGACTTTTGTACCCAAGCCTGCCCTGGTAGCTCTCCTGTGTCAGGTGCTTGTGGCTCACAGACCTTCACAATGCTTATCTTCTGAGAAACGCAAGTCTCTATCTCGAAAAACCAGGTAGATGACCCAGCGTCTTCAGACAGAGCAGGGCCAGGTGACATCCAGGAGAAACACAATAAAATAAGCCAGAACTCCAGGTCTAGAGAGTTTACCAGAGCAGACTGCTTTTCACTTGTCCTTAGATGGATGCTACCACCCAACAATAGCTTCAGGGGAAGTGAAACTTCAATGCCTCCTTTGGTGGCAGGAAGGTGAGAAAGAGTTGATAGTTGGGTCCTGGGAGGCCTCACTTAACCCCAGCTGCTGCCTAGAGCAAAGTTGCACCAGGACACAAAAGCCCTTCTGATCCTATGTTGGGATTGCCCAGATAAACTGAAGGCTTCTAAGCCCTCAACACAACTCTCGCTCTCATTTCCCACTTCTCTCTTCTCGTGTTGTCTCTTTGCCAATTTGTTTACTGCGCGTCAGGCCCCCAGTGTTGTTGCTGCTGACGCTCAGCACGTGAGCTCTCTGCGAGCAGGAACTGTGCTCTCTTTGTGCATTGTCCGAGCTGTGGAGGTGCTTAGTGCATGCTGAACAACAGCAGCGCTCCCAGCATTTCCCAGAAACATCAGCATTCTTCCCAGAGGTCAGCTGTTGACTGTAGTCTACACAGGCACAACTGAAGGCTTCCCTCTTTTCACTTTACGTAACATAGCGGAAAGTAGGTACCCCACAACCTTTTCTGCCAGATTGCCTTTTCAGAGAGAATGTTCCAGGGATGTGATCATCAAGCAAAGGCAACCTGCTATAGAATGCAGTTGCCTGGACCCACACAGACATGCTACTGTCTGAGTAACACCCTGGTGTGGGCTCTGGGGAAGCAACTCAGAGGGTAAGAGCTTTGAGGGCTTGGATTCTGTTCATAGCCCCACAAGGACCAACCAACCAGCTAAGCAGACAGCTTGTGAATGAAGTGGAGCCAGGCAAAGGCTTCCTGCTAAGCTCAAGGCAGAAAGCCACACTCTGTAATTAAAGGAATGAGAAGGTAAATCTACTGCCTCTGCAGGCCAGGTCCAAGCCTCTGGACAGCAAGAAGCTAGGAGGAAGGTGAGAGGGCGGGCAGCTAGTGAGAGCAGCTCCCACAGGGCCCGAGGGCAGATCTGGAGCAGAGAGGCAGCAATGCCCGCAGCTCCAAGCTGGCCTCTTTCTGCAGTATGGAGGCTGCCTGTGTTTCTTAGCAGTGACCTCCCATTTGTGGCCACTTAGCTGAGCTCACTGTGATCTGTTCAATTCTAAGTCACAACAAACCAACAGAGCTTCCACTCATGAGGAATCTCTGACCAGCATCCCTTCATGGGACAGAGGATACAAAATACCAAAGAGAATCTTGGAACCAGCCAACACATGAGACCCAGTACCACCACTCACGTAATTCTACGTTGAAGAACTTTTGCGTTCACTGGGATGGCTCTCACGGCACAGCAAACACTGACGCACCCTCTGGAAGTGTCTGTGAGCATTTTAACAATTTGCCCTAGAACACATGCTTTGCACTAACAGATAAACCTCTTTCTATCACATTAAAAGTGGATAAATGCTAATCAGCTTTTCTTTGGGGCAGGATTAAAAACTAAAACGATCAAATTAATTTTAGCTTGAAAACTAGCACAGCTACAGCACACTTCTAAGGATGGTTTTCAGGGGTACCACGGCTTCCTGGGAAGGGTGATGGTAAGGTTGAAAGCTCTCACACTCTTGTGACATGAAGGCTCTGCTGGGACAGGGTCCCTCTGCTCAAGATGACATGAGTGACTTTTCTGTTATACTTACAGATTTCTCTTCTGCTCAGAAAGCTAAGCTTCAAAAAATGTTTCTATCTAAAAATAGCCTAGGAATTCGGTTCTATTTTCAATTCTTACATACTTTTCCTACTCAATGCACCACAGAAACATTTCCTTTCATTGTTGACACCTTATGTCATTTGTACTTAAAATCAAGCAATACATAACGACAAAGAAGCCTTTAAACACAGATTTGCAAAGTGGGGAAATGGCATTCACAACAGTAGCCCTAAGCTGATCTCTCTTCCCTTAGAGTGGGAACACAACTGTTTCATTAAAAATCTACATTCCTAAATCGGGTGCAATTTACGTGTTAACCGATAAAGAAATTTCCTTCTGGTTCTGTGATATAAACAAGTTGCCTGATTTGAAGGCATTCTACTCTAAGTGTCAACGTGGTTCAAACTAAGCAAGTGACTTGTGTTTAATTTAAAGTAACACTGAAATCTTCCATTTGCTTCAGTCTAGGTTTGAGATAGGACTGAACAGACTGAAAAGCAGGTAAGAGTTTGAGATCCTGTGGAGAATTAAGCCAACAAAAGCACCTTAAATCATTCTCTAAAACCTTCCTTATGAAGCTTTTTCCTTAGAAAAATAAAGGTCTATTTTTAAGCATAAACTCTTCCTTGAAAAGACTTTCCATCTATACCTTTAGCAAGGCAATGCTTGATATTCTCCTTTCTGCCGTGTATCCACTCAAGGGGAGTATTAACTTTTAACAATTTTCCCCAACAGTTACTACCATAGAAAATAAAGTTTAGAGATACACTGTAACATTTCTGTGTATAGAAACCATTTCTTCTAATCCAACATTTTAACATACAAATACCGGTTAATCTACTTTTTTTTTGTTAAAAAAAAAAAAAAAAGATAAGTGAAAATCAAATATTTTCTCCAGCAAAAAGCTGAGTAAACCAAGGTGCTCAGGGCAGTGCCCATGTAAATAAAACACTCTGCCACCGTTCTGATACTAGCTTTCCCAAGGCATATAAAATTACCATGATAGTCACTTTAGGAAGATTTAAGGTACGAAGAACAAAGAGAAGTCTTAAAAATTCCCAGAGTACTCACAAGTAGTTTGAAAGGAAATCTGAGCCACAATTCTTCAGAAGTCTGTTCTCCGGATCATAAACACAATCTTTCGTCTGAAATAGATACCTATCGCGTTAGGCCCAGAAGTCACATTTCAGCTTACTAACTTCTACTTGGGTAAACAGTTTTACAACTCATAGAACAAACGCTGGCTAAAATTAACTGCAGCCGAGCAGCAGGCAGGAACATGCTGGTTTGCATCATGTGGGCCGGGATTTATTCACTAGGACAACACTGGTGTCCTCTTTAATGGGAATCTAGCCAAGGGGTGTGCCCTGCCGAACAATGCACAGCATCATGATTGCGCTAATGACTGAATTCAGTTGGATGCCACTGGCTTTCTTTAAATCGGCTCTGCAAGTACCGACAGAGAAAATGTACTAAGGTCTTTCCCATAACCGGCAAGCACCTGATTTGGAGCACATTCAGAGCAGACAACCTTGGCAACACGGTGGCCGTGCTGCCTGCTCTTCGCGGCACATCTGGTGAGATTACCCACTAGCTTTCTGCTTTTCTTCTGTGCTTCCCAAGGAGGTGCTGTGAGGACACACGCTCCCTTAGGAAACAAACACCACAACTGAGAACACACATCTCCACTTTACAAAATGCACTTTATAGTGTATTTCACTGTGCGGCTGGCTACACATGGAAAAACTGTCTTCCACGCGAACAGATGATCATTCTCAAAGTATACTGAAACCCAAGCACACAGCTCAAGACTCCAAGAACACAGCCAAGATTCAAAAGAAAATCAGAACACACTGCATTGTTTAAGCAACACAAACGCTCTCAGTAACTACAACGGAGAAGGTCTTCCACGGATGATTCAGACTGCTTGGCTTGAGGTATTTCAGTCCTGATGGCATATTGTGCCCTGAATAGGTACTTCATCAATCAAACCTCCAGTCACCACCCCTTCCAACAGATGCAAAGTAATTCAATGGCTGGAAGGCAACTGGATTACAGCATCTTCCTCCAACCCCTCTATGACATGACTCCGTATTAACAGCATACCTAGAACCGTACATATCTTACCAGAGCTGCTTGTTCTCATAATTAAAAAATGTCATGTTAGCCTCGACCTCAGGGTCTGGGTTCAGGGTCTTCAGAATCTTCCTCTGGAGCAGCGGTTCTCAACCTTCCAAATGCTGCAAACCTTTAGTACAGCTTCTGGGGTTGTGACCCCAACCATAAAATTATTTCGTTGCTAACACTGTAACTGTAATTTTGCAATTAATGAATCATAAAACAAATACCTGAAATGCAGGATATCTGCGATGTGGCCCCAAAGGGTCGCAACTCACAGGTTGAGAACCTTTGCGCTGTATCATTGAGTCTACAGCATGGATCATTAAAACACAGCCAGACTCTTAAAAAGCACAGCCCATCCGTGACAAACATGCCAAAAGTTGCCAACGGCCAGCCAGCTTTTGTTGGCATAAACTGGTAACTGCTAATATCTTCCTTGTGTTGCTTATAAAAACTGCTGGCTGCACCTGACATTCTGTCCCCACGCACAACCTGGGCTGCTGCTGTTCTCTAACACACGTTATACCCTCTGTAACCCAGCTGGTGTGTGCTCTGTGTCATTTCACCCAAAGTTCCCAGAGGTGGCATTGCCATCCTGTGATGAAAGACAGGAAGTTATGCTAATCAGAGGGCTGACCTCTGACAATACAATTGTTTTCAGCAAACTTACTCTACAGTCCTTAAGGCCAAAAGAGGGTGTTGTGAGGCTAATTTTGACAGAATTATTATGATCCAAAAATGCCTATGTTTGGTAGAAAGTTCTATTAGCAAAGCCTCTTCTCTGTTCTAATCTAGTGAGAAAAGCTGGACTGACCTATGCATCCATCAGGTTTTGCACGGTAGAGGACCCAGACTGCACTGTGAGGTCTACTTTGAGGCAAGAAATTCTGAGCAGTTCTCTGGTTCCCCCTATGTCAAACACACTAAGTACGAGTCTGTTTCTTCTAATAGCAGCCACACCTGCTTGGAAATGCAAGGACCAAAACCTGCAGGGAAGATAGTGCACCCTTTAATTTACCTCAGACACTTGGCTGCTTCCTCTTCATTAGTGAAAAAACTGCATGTTTCTTCTAGGTCTAGAATAGGTGTAATGAACCCCTGACATTGCAATATAGCCTGTTACCTACAAAGCTTATGTTGGACAATGTGCAGTCAAGTTATAATATTTTCCCCTTAAAAATCTCATATTTTAATAGGTTTACAGTTTTATATTGGGCCAAATTCATAGTGATCTTTGGGCTACATTTATCCTTAAAGACTAAAGGTTTTGCATCCTGCACCTCTAAAATAAACAAAATGACCTGTGTTCGTTGCTTACTTTTCTGAAATGCTAATTTTTTTTTTCATAATTTTATCAAAAAGGGGTCTGTGACCCCAGTGAAATAAAGAGCACTAAGGTTATCCTGCTAGTACTGAGGAAGAACTTGAAAGCTAAGGAGAACCAAGGAACAAGACAGTCAGGAGACAGAGGAAAACCACAGAGAAAGGGTTAAAAAAACAAAAACAAAAGAAGGGAGGTCTCCTTCCCAGGTAATGGATTCAGTTACAATATGTGGAATAACACTAGTGAGCTCCTGCTTGGGGGACAGGGATGAAAAACAGAATTTTGTCAAGGAGTTCACATGCTAGTATCATGAGACATTGCAGAGAACCAAGAGCACAGAAAGGACACAGCTCAGTTCTTAAAGGAAGATTATTTTCTGATGAAATTTAAAATTCAGGATCCAGAATTAGTGAGCATTCCATATTTTATTTTGGAGCCATTAAAGAGTCATGGATTATGAAGTGACGAAATATTTCAAAATAGTTAAAAATTACACCTGGACACAGCAACAAGGTCTTGATTCTGAGTTCGCTATATTTGATCCAAACATTCAAAGTGGTAGAACAGGGGGAATCTCAGGGTTCACAATGGTTTCCAGTTTTTCCAAGGATTCTACAAAACATTCAAAGCTTTAACAAAGTGAATGCTTAAGAAAAAAAAAAGTACTAACCCATTAGGGAAGAGGTTAATTGGAGAGAAGCTCTAGGGTTAAAATGTGAGGTACCATCTATAGTCTATGTGACATCGGGACTCTGCTGTCCTGTGTCTGCCTCTCCACGTGTTAAAAGGTGACAATAATGCTGACATCAAAGGACAGTTGAGAGCTCCATGAGATGACTTACAACACTGGTCCACAGGTGCTTTCAATAAATGGCTGTGGTGTCATGACTGTGTCACATCAATAGAACACCTGGTGAAGATCAATCGAGTACTTAATGAGTGAGGATCAAACGATCCTCTTTTAAAGCTCAAAGCTTCAAACTATGAAAAGTTGAAAGGAATTTCAAATGGTTGCTAAGCATTCCATGGAAACCTGGATGTGCAAAGGCTCTTAAAACCCTGTTATTGCAATAACCTTTTAGATTTTCCTCTATTACGTCACTTAACATGAATAGCCTTGTGTGGAATTTGAATTTGGGATTGGCTAGGCAATGCAAAGGGACACCAAGCTGTAGACTGTTGTCATAGGGTCCCTATTCACTGTAGCCTCACCACTGCGCAGTCTCTTCCCATGCTGCTCTGCTTGGCCATAAGCACAAGAACAAACAGTACCCAGAGCCTTGTTTTTGAGATGGTATATCATTCTTTAGTCCAAGCTGGCTTTGAACTTATAATCCTGGTGTCTTAGCCTCCCAAGTGATGGAATCAGTGGTATGTGTTGTATTCTGGTGTTATGTATTCTAATGCTAATTATTGGCCCCCAAGATCTGGTTGATCTGGTTGATGCCCAGCCAAGCACATCCTCATGTACACCTGTCTTTGTCCTGTAAACCTTGCCCTACCTAATTTAAAGTTGATTGGTTCACAGAGTTGCTGAAGCCTGTGACTGAGCAGAAGAAAAGAGGGCAGAGCTGAGGTCCCTGAGCTTGAGGGACCACAAGGCCAAGAGGAGGAGAGGAGAGAGAAGCAGAAGATGTAACAGGAGGAGTGGAAGCCAAAAAAGAAGGAAGTCACCATGGGGCAGTACGGTCATGGGGGCTGGCCTGATAGAACAGAAGCAGCCCAGACAGGGACCATTAAGGCAAGTAGCAGGGCATGTGTAGCTGGGAAATAGCAAAGGAGCTTAGACAATTGATAGCTGCCCAGTTACTGTGATTTAAAGCTTTTATAAATCCAAGAGGTCTCTGTCTCGATTATTTGGGAACTAGCCAGGGTAGAGAAGCACTCCAATGTCTAATACCCCCTTCTACAACACACCAGTATATTAGGTGTCTCAACATACAGCTAGTGCTCACTAACACATACACATCCATCTACCTTCCAAATGATCACACTGGAATTACCCCTAGTACACTTTAGTAATGAATTAATAGTATGGTTTATATATACACAAACACAGAACTTCTTCACCATTAATTTATTATCAGTTTTAAAAAAGATGTAAATAACTAGCAAACCCAAGACAGTTAAAAAAAAACCTTTGATAGAGCTACTTCACTGTAATTCTTCTAAGCTGCATCAGTCTTTGAGAATCAAGGCAGCATTATTACTGCTGGTGCTTGAATACTTGAAATTTCATCAGCTATTAAAACTTTACAGCAATTGATTAAAAGTTTTATTTTGATCCGTATTTTCCCTACAAAAATACATGCAGTGCAAATTTTTTCATTTCATGTATATTTTCATATTTAAAAATATTCTTGTTCCTTGAGAAACTCACTCCTGTATAGGTTAATTTTTAAAAATTATACTAGAATTCAGTTATTCATGCTACACATAGTCAAGCACTTGTTATTTTTAAGCCATCGATTCTTGCTAACTTGAAATTTCCAAACATTTTTCAATAAGGAAATGAACAGCAATAAGCCTATGATGGCTTTCGCCTTTAAGAACCATACAATCTGGGTCAGGGCAGTGTACATAAATGTTTGCTGTATAAAGTAAGCATCCAAAAGGGTAACATTTCCCTGCTAAGGGGATGTTAAGAAAAGAAGCTTCCAGGTATGTTAACTAGAAAAGGCATTTTGGAGGAAATAACAT